AAGAAGATTTTCAATCTTTCACTCTTGTGTTGTCTGTCATGTGCATCTCTTAACATCGACTGTAGTCTTCTCAGCTGACGCTTTAGTCTAGCTACTCCCTCATCGATTCCATTCAATCGTTCGGATTCTCGACTCAGGAGCTCCAAAAGCTTCTCAACACCAAACGTCACGATTCCTTCAGCCATGATGACCTGTTTTAAGTTTTGAACAAAAGGTTTACACCCCATTTATTTATGTAACATATGGAACATATTCAAATTTCGTTAAATATGTGGATCAACGCAAAACAAAGCAAATACAAAAAATATTTATGAACAAGATTATACCGTCTCTAAAGCAGATTCACCTCAGGGTTACGACGTTCTTTGGAAGAAGAAGAAATTGACTATGCTAATGAAATTATAATGGATCAAAGTCAACTTATTTTGTCCAGCTACACCAATACCATTGGTTGAGTAAATTATTAATGATTGCCATTTTTTTTTAATTGGTCCTCTACATCAATTGCCAATTCGGAAAGTGCAGCTACATAATACGTAGCACAACTATCATTAGTTGCCGTATTCACCATTTAGTATGTACTTTCTGACCCATAAAATCCAATATTTGTCTTGACTAAATCAAGTATCAGATAATCTATTTAAATTATTTGCAACTACAGAAAAAAAAAATACATTTTCTTAAATAATGATAGAATAATTTGTTTATACCACAACTGAATTAAACATTAATTATATTTCTATAGAAGCATCTTCGAGTTTTTTCATTTATTATATACTTCATCTCTCACATTTTTTTTGCTTAAACTTTATCTCCCACATTGATTAAAACTAGGTTAAGCAATGATAAAATCTGTATAAATAATTTGGATCTGTTTCGATTGCTGGTTATTTTTATCTTTCTAATTTGAAATGTGTAATTCTTCGTTCAGGTTCTTTTGAACAGGTTTGGAGCTAATATAAGTTAAATTTCGAATCAGTTGACTATACATAATTTATAAGTTAAACTTTCGTTTTGCATATTTATTCTGAAAATATAATCTCGCACAATACCAGCCGAATTAAATCAACAAAACATGTCATTCTTAGGTCAAATATCCACCATGTGTCATTTCTTTATTTAAACAAAACCAATAATGTCATGTACATGTTAAGCACCAATTACAATGTCCTAACTCCCGTTTACAAAAATAAAATAAAATAAAATAAGAATAATAATTTACGTATTTTGTGTGTTTATTGTAGAATGATATTTCTAGTGGTCAAGTTCATTACAAGTAATCAATTGAATAATAACAGAAATATTTTAAAACTTTAAAGTAAGTACAAGCTGTGTAATCCAAAATACAAACCTCTAAAGAGATGAAAATCGGAGATTTTGAGCAACTTGGTCTACCAAATCGTTAACTTTAAGTCTTTAACACTTCACTTTTGATTAAAAGAACAGATAATTCGTATGTTCATTGACATATAAGAACCCACGCATATTAATATTGTAGTGGAAGGATGATTATAAACTCGATACCTAATAATACATGACAGCTATATATATTGTCACCACACAAGAGTACCAATTACAACAGTCACAGTATTAACAAATGACATTTGATGCGATGCATGAAGGTAGAAAGATGTCTGAAAGGGTTTGAAATAAATTATCCAATATCGTCCTAATGTGTATAGAGGCTTTAGGTACTATAATAATCAGTTTGATCCCTTATCATATATGAAAAGACAATAGTGGTTATTGTGATTTTAATGCTGAACTAGATTTTGACCCGCGCAACCGCGCGGGTGTTTGTTTTCGTTTATAGTTAGTTATATAAACATTTTGTTTTCACTTGTAAATTCGTATATATTATAGTAATCATATATTTACAATATGTATAGTAAATGTTTTTCAAACATAATAATATTATACAATATGTATTTTAATCAAATAGATTGTTTCAAATTTTTTATATTATACATGTTTTCAAACATGTATTTGTTTCTTCTTCTATATTTTATTGTTTGTTAGATTAGTATTTCATTTTTAGATAAAGTAATATAAATAGAACTTGATTAAATATTAGTATACTTTAATTTTCAAAGATAATATAAATTTCGAAGAAATTTTGCTAAAAACTAAACTTATAACTTTATAAATTAATATTATAAAGAATTTTATTAAAAATAATTTTTAAAGAATTTCTGTTTTTAAAACAATATAATTTTAAAAATTTACATCAAAATAAATTTCTCTAATATATACAGCTTGTAAATTTTGTTAGGGTATATAAATATTTCATATTACGAATATGTGATTTTTGTTAATATATTATGGATGCAATTAACTATTATTGACATATTTNAAATAATAGAAGATTCCTAAACTTATATCTATTAACATATTTTGCGTGGCTAAGTTGGAAGGTGTGGGGTAATTTACCAAAACCAAATTGTTAAGCATATCTTTATTATTACATATATGATTTTTCATAAGATATAATAATGATAAGATTATTAGAGTGTTAATGTAACATGTGACTTTTTAGTAATAGTCTATTTTTTTAAAAAAATCACACATGAAATGAAGTCATGACTTCTGTTTTAATATATAAGTAAAACAATATAATTTTAAAAATTTACATCAAAATAAATTTCTCTAATATATACAGCGTGTAAATTTTGTTAGGGTATATAAATATTCCATATTACGAATCTGTGATTTTTGTTAATATATTGTGGATGCAATTAACTATTATTGACATATTTTCTTATAAATAATAGAAGATTCCTAAACTTATATCTATTAACATATTTTGCGTGGCTAAGTTGGAAGGTGTGGGGTAATTTACCAAAACCAAATTGTTAAGCATATCTTTATTATTACATATATGATTTTTCATAAGATATAATAATGATAAGATTATTAGAGTGTTAANAAATAATAGAAGATTCCTAAACTTATATCTATTAACATATTTTGCGTGGCTAAGTTGGAAGGTGTGGGGTAATTTACCAAAACCAAATTGTTAAGCATATCTTTATTATTACATATATGATTTTTCATAAGATATAATAATGATAAGATTATTAGAGTGTTAATGTAACATGTGACTTTTTAGTAATAGTCTATTTTTTAAAAAATCACACATGAAATGAAGTCATGACTTCTGTTTTAATATATAAGATTTGTGACTCAAAACTTGATTTTAAATGCAAAGATATACTTTAACTTCGATCAAATACAAAATCAACTTAAAAGATTAGTGAAATTAAAAACATCCATTCATGACCAAATAAAAAAACAACATTAGAGTTTATCATTATAACCATACGAGTGAAAATTCTTTTCTGAGAAGACTTTTTTCTCATGATATGTATATTTTAAAAATAGTTTATAAAATTTATAAGAAAATTATTCTGATTAGTAAAAAAATCGTAATTATGTAATTATAGATATTTACAAATGGCGATTTACTAAAATTGAATAGTTTTCAACATAGATGAATGAATGTAAGTTAGTCATGATATTCTTTGGTTTAGGGTTTAGTAACTATTTAGATTGTGGAATGTTAATTTTTTTAAAACTAAATTTGACCTACATGTGTTTAATTTTGGGTATATTAAACATTTTGTCAGTTTATTTTAAGCTTGATAATGTTTTGTATATAATTTAGTTATATATTTTATTTTGGGGTTTTGGAAGACTTACTAGATGACTTAACAACAGCTTCCCACGTAAATTTTTGAAAGAATTTAGGTTTTCTGTATAAAATTAAGTTTTTCAATAAGTCTTACATACATTTTCCAAGAAAAGTATTCTAGTGTATTACTTTTTATAATAATTTATAAATTTTATTAAAAAATATACTGATAGGGAAAAAATTATAATCATCTAATTATAGACATTTGTAAATAATATAAATTTAGATTTAAGAAGATTAAATTGTTTTCAACATAGATAAATGAATGTAAGTTAGTCATGATATTTTTTGGTTTAGGGTTTGGTAACTAAGTTATAGTATTGTATGTGATTTTAGGGTTAGATTGTAGAATCTTAATTTTTTGACATATATGTGTTTAATTTTGTGTATACTAAACACTTTATAAGTTTATTTTAAGTGTAATTAAGATTTTTGTGTGATTGAGTTATATATTTGATTTTGGAGTTTTAAAATACTTAAATTTTCGAAAATATAATTCGCTAGAAGACTTAGTGAATGACTTAACAACAATTTCTCGGTTAATATTTTAAAAGAATTTAGGTTTTCCACATAAACTTAAGTCTTCCAATAAGTTTTCGAGTACTACATGGAAAGTTTTCTAGTGTATTAGTTCTTAAAATAATTTATAAATTTCATAAAAAAAATATTTTGATAGGAGAAAATCATAATCATCTAATTATAGACATTTGTAAGTGATATAAATTTTAATTTACGAAAATTGAATTTTTTTTCAACAAATTAAATTATGTGTTAGATATTGGAATCTTAATATTTTAAATAATTTTTTTTTAAAATTTGACATATATGAGTTTAATTTTGTGTACTTTAAGTATTTTATAAGTTGATTTTAGTTTTTTTTTAGATTTAGTTAGTTATTTGATTGTAGAGTTTGGATTACATTTCTTAATTATACAAAATTTTGAATAAATTTTAGAAATATTAATTCGGAAGACTTAACTGGGTAATGTTTGAAACAAAACTAATACTCACTCAACAACTTGCCTTATTGACCATCTTTCTGAGACGTTTCTCTAACTTTCTTTTTGGTTAAAACTTTTACAACTCTGACATGTTCTTTTTTTTTCTTTCTTTTTTTTTTGCTGAAATTTGGAAACATGTACTTCTTGCTCTGTCAGATTCACGGTTTCATCTACCACTTCAACAACCAAAATAAAATAAAATAAATAGAAAACCCAACAAATAAAGAAAAGAAGAAAGATAATGTTTTCACCATTTTGTTCTACGTTGTAATTTTGAGGAAACAAACAAAACACATTTTGAATCCTCTCTAGTCTTTACAAAAGTTATCCTCTGGTCCAGTTTTTACTTCATCATCTACATTTTGACTATCTATAGCCCTCTTCTCTTCTTCCTCCATAATTTCTAACTCCCTCAAATTTCCACTTTGACACCTCAATTTCCCAACTTTCACACATCCCTCCCCTCTACTCTTCAACTCCACCAAACACTCCCTAACCGCCTTCTCCTTATCCCTCCGGTTCTTGATCAAAACCTCACTTACATCCGCAGGCGTCATCTCCGCCTTCTCCACCACGCTTTCCATCTCCTTCAAAACCTCGTCATCCACATCTTCCTCCTCGTACCCTAAATAGTTCCTCAACAAAATCTTCAACGACGAGAAATCACAGTAACTCATGCACACATGCATATCCATTCTCCCACTTCTAAGAAGTGCAGGATCAAGCCTCTCTATATGATTTGAGGTAAAGACAAAGATCCTCTCGCTTCCACAACAAGACCAAAGCCCGTCAGTAAAGTTCAACAAACCCGACAACGTTATCGTGTCCCCGTTACCAGACTCTTCACCCAAATTACTACGACTAGGACCGACCCTGAGATTTTGAAGATCTTAAACTATTTAGTAGAAATATATATATATTTTATTAACAATTGAAAATTTATACTTGTATTTGTATTAACTCCAAAATAGTGCCAATGTTTCACTTACCTATGCTCAGGACTGGTTTTGAGTCCACTGTTCCGATTCGTCAAGTTGATCGAACAATCAATGTCTTCGATAACAATTATCGACTTAGAACTCGTTTTCATCAGAAGTTTCCTCAACTCCGAGTTGCTATGCACCTCAGTGAGTTCAAGATCATAAATATCATAACCAAGATAATTAGCCATCGCTGCGATCATACTAGACTTACCAGTACCAGGTGGACCATACAACAAGTAACCTCTCTTCCAAGCCCTACCCGTTCTCTCATAAAACATTTGACCTTCCGCAAAATCCTTAAGATCATTCATGATCCGTTGCTTCTTTGTCGGATCCATCGCAAGAGTTTCGAACGTACTCGGATGCTTAAAAGGAACAGACTCCCAAGGCTGTCCTCTCGAGTCCAAAGACCCGCCACGTGTGTTCGTGTAAAGCAACCGGTCTTGGCTTTTACGACGGATCTCGTTAGCTTTCTCCACGATGAACTCAAGATAAGAGTTTAAGATCAAGATTTTGTCCTTTTTCTTGATACGGAGAGTGAACCCGCGTTTCTCTTCGGGTAACGGTCTCCATGCGAAGGTCTGAGTTTGTCTTTGAGTGACGACGTGTTCCCATAGGACGGTGACGTTGTTGAAAGTGTCGACGATGGAGTCGTTGTTTGAGAGACCGAACGTGATGGTGGAGGAGTTGACGGCGCGGGTGAGGGTTAAACGGTTGCTGGAGATGGAGATGGAGGAGCTGAGGTAGATTTGAACGGCGTTGTAGAGTTCGTTGGTGTTGACGCCGTCGAGCTCTGTTATGTCGTAGTAGCAGTGAGAGGAGAAGAATGATTGTATTAGGCTTTGACAGAATGCTAAGACTCCGAGAAGTGAAGCTAGTGATGTCCAATGCTCTTTCATTCTTTTGGTTTCTTTAGATGAGATCAAAGTAGAGAAAACAGAGGATTTTTTTAGAAAAGTGTGACTTTAAAAAGGAGACTTTTAAAAAGTGAAAGCTTTGAGAGATCAAGAAGAGATGGTCTCTTTCAACTTATAAGAGTTTCTTTTTAATTTATTTGACTAAATTCTCGAGAAAACTTTACAGAGAAAGTGAGAAAGGAGCTGTTCAGGAGAAAACTGTAAAGCTATGTCAGAGTGTGGTGATAATGACAAAGGCAGAGAGGTTAAGGAACAAGTGTAAAATGAAAGAGAAAAGAAAAACAAATTTGGGTTTTGTAAATTTCTTTGAATTTAAGACTGACTATTAATGAGGTTGCTTATTTGAGTGATTTATGGTCAAGATTTGTTTGGGACTTTTCTTTTCTTTTTTGATTGTTGGTCAAAATTTTCGTCTTTTCTTGAAAGATGAATCAATGTTTACTACGAAAGTTTAGATATTATAAACCGTAAAAAATTGTTTGGTGGTAAGATTAGTATCATAGGAAAGAAATTTTTTAACTATGGAAATAAGTTAATGTAAGTACAGTATATGAAACTGATAAGTGACTGATACCTATCAAATATCACTCCGTTTGTTTTTCTTAAGATTAGTTAGGTGGCAAACTCTCAAATCTCAATGAGACGAGACAAAGGGGATAATAGAAAAGACTAGCTAGATCTTTTCACCAAGGAAGGTGTTGTCAAAACAGATATCTTTGGCAGACTAATGAATGGTCGGTCTTAAGCAAGATAGAGCTTTTATTGATTGATAACATTAGTCTGCAAATATTACTACATCTTATATTGGCTCACTATTTGTATCTCCACGAATTGATCACATTGAAACATAAGACTAAAAACAAACAAAAAACAACTCTCTTTTGCCAAAAATGGGGTTTTATCACTCCCTTTTCTTTCACATCACAAAATGAAACCAAATCAAACAAAATATTAGTGCAAAAGAGATTTAATAACCCAAAATACATTCTTTTGGGCATAGTGAAAAAAAAATGTATTCCAAACCCGAGAGAGCACTTTCTTCTTTTATGGTTTGAGGGCGAGAGCAAGACCAACCCTTGGCGAAGAGTTCACAGCCTTTGAGTCATACTCAGCCGAGAGAGTAATGAGAGACTTGGGTCTCCATTCCCTCTGCACCACCATCCCTGCCTTCCCATTGTTAGAGATTCTTGTCTTCACCGTTGTAAAAGGATCCACAGAGTAAGAGCTTCCGATGGTGAAACTGTTGGCATGATTTGTGAAGCGACGGATAAGTTCTGCACCAACGGATGTGGTTGGATTCACCGTGTGGACGTAAGTGGCTCTTAGACTCTCCCCTTTATCCTCCCTATAAGTTAGCACTCTTCTCAGTTCCACAAAAGGGCAAAGGAGATAGGAAAATGGAGGAGAGATATCGTGTTTGTTGTTTACTTACAGCATGAGCGCAGCAGAGAAGTCTGGCTTGTTGAAACTGATTCCGGCGTTGTACTTGGTTAGTGAAGAGGAAGCTGTGTCGAAACCAACTTCACCACCAAGGGAAACAGTCTGGCTTCCGATGGTTGCTGAGAGATCAAGCAGAGGAGTTGGGTTGAGGCCAATGCTGGAATTGAGCGTGGCATGGGGGTGAACGTATTGCACATCCAGCTGAATTATAACAGAGACGCATGTTAAGAATAAAGAGTGCAGAAAGTGATTGACATCTTCATAGGACTGAGACTGACCTTGCCAGACTTGTGATCAGGTATTTTGAAGCTGATAACAGCTTTAGCAGATGGCATGAGATTTTTGACAGTTACTTTCGTCGCCACCTGCATAAATGCGTTCAGTAATGGTTAAGGAGAGAGAGTTAAGGTGCCAAAGATCAGACAGCATGTATCACTAGAGATATTTACTTACACTTGAGTGGCTGTCGATTTTGAGATCAACAATGGTGTTTTGACCTTTATATAGTGTGCTTATGTCGCCAAAAAATAAATCATCCTTCTGCAAACCTGTCGCCACGAATTCCTGTTGGGAAAAAAATCATTACGGTATAGTGTTACATAGGTTCAAAGTAAATCAAGTACATTGGTTTGAAGGGGAGAGAGTGAGTGAGCTAAACAATCCTAATTAGATGACACCAAGATTACAACAAAAGTTCTCCGACTTACGATACATCAAAGTCCATGTTTGGGAACTAGAGTATAAACATTAACTGGATAAGACTAGCTATCAAAGAATCCTGCTTCTACTAAATACTGCAACAATTTTACGAAGCAAAAGTATTCAAGGCAGCTATAATTAAGTACTCCCATGTTAAATGAGTTGCCTGTTTCTTTCTAATAATGAATTGTGCGGTAAGTATCTCTAACTAGTAACTAGCAGCACCGATTCTATAATTACGACATGATAATCTTCAACAGGTCATATAGGCATATTATATCCTATTCACGTAAAAGAATCCAACTAATATCCAACATACCGTTCCAGTAGCACTCAGCATTGTCAGAGTAAACTTTTGGTCGAAAATGTAATCCTTGTTAAGAAGATCTGACAATTAACAAATGGTGAATAAGTAATCAGCACTGAGAAGCAAAAGGGAACCACAAACACAGAGAGAGAGAGAGAGAGAGAAATGTCCAGGATCTGCTAACTTTACCTTTGGCTTTCTTGCCAATATCTGGAAACGGAGCTGGACTGCTTCCCATCTTCTAATGTAGTAAAGAAGCTCAGCAAACAACTGACAATTTCACAAACAACACATAATAATCAAAGGCATGTCACCAATTATACGCAACGATTCACAAAAAATGATATGTTCCAAGTTCCAACACTTCTCTGAGCTAATCAAATCTTCAAATACCTAAAAGCTAAAGCTATCTTATATCCTCAGCAGCGGAAAGCAACTCTACATTGCAAAAAGAACCATGCCTATAATACATATGAAACTACAATCCAAAGAGGAAACAAATCAGTTTCTCTACTACGTTTATAAACTATAACGAATCAAATCAATGTTGCTTACAATATCAAAGAGAATCGCAACAAGCAATGAGTGTAATCGCAATACGTACTCTTCAGGTTTACCGAGACTATCTATGGAAGTAAACACACACACACACACACAATGGCGAGAAACAACAGATCGAGAGAATCGAATCGATAAAAAGCCAATCTCGCGAATTCAAAACTAGTCCACAATGAATCAACAAAGAAACTTTAGCTAGTTATCTAGATTCCTTACCAAAGTGGAAGATCGACGAATAGAATCAACGAACGGTTAAAGGTCGCTCGATAACCCTAACTGATCCGTCGCCTGATTCGAGGCGACGGCGGCTTTTGAAGTAGTAAAGGCCTCGAGAAGCTCAAAGGAGGAGGAGGCCTACGTTTCTCGGTGAGTAATGTTAGTGTCACTTGGCGTTGAGGTTCGTTAGGTTACGTGCTCGCACGCTTTTTTCTGCTTTTTCCAGAAAAGCCTTTTGGGTAATTAGTAGGTTCTATCACAGGCCTAGTTGTGACCAGTTCGTGAGGCCCATATTCATGACCCGAGCCGACTCGCTTCTTCATCTTTTTGAAGTTCCTGTATTACCCTTGGAATCGGTTTACATATGACCAAAAATAGAGTTTCCATTTTCAACCCGGTTTGATCTATAAACTAATACTCCCTCCGTCTTATTTTATTTGTCTTTTAGATTTTTTCACATAAATTAAAAAAATATTTAATTTTGTAGATTCTCAAATAAAAACACAATTATTTATACATTTAACCACATTTCAACCATTAAAAAATAAAAAAATATATGAAATTAATAAATTCTACATTGAAATTATAAAATGACACTTATTTTGAAACAAATTTTTTTCTCTACACCGACATCTAAGCTGAAACGGAGGAAGTACTATATAATTTCAGTAAGCAAATTAAAAAAAAAAAATCTGACATTGTGCGAACATAACCCTAAGACATAATCTTTACAAAAGACAGTTCGGTGTAAATAAAGTCAAATAGAATTGTTAAATGTAAAATCGTTGATATTTTTTTTTTTGTAATTTATAGTGTACAATATAATGGTGTTAATTAAGAAAGTAATGTAATGTAGTGTACTATATATTGACGTTGAACATTGTTTTTGGGGCACCATGAAAACGCCCACAAGTATTGAACATATCTGAAATCCTTGGTTAGACAAATGATTATTAAAAACTTTAAAAGACATTAACGATCACAAAACCAATTAAAAAAAACAATTTTAGTATAAAGTATAATAATCAGATGGATCTATCTACGGTATGTGGTATAATTTAGAAGGCTTAAGATTGCTAGTAACATTGAAATAGTTCAATGTCCGTATCCACTTCTCTTGGTTCTTCAACAAATGAACCGCAATAGTATCAGGCCAAAGCTCATGTGTGCATCTAGTCGGTGGCTCAGGGAAATTATACATCGACCACTTAGCGTTAAACCTGTTCTTCCCTCGTCTTCCTTCTCGAATCCAATCGCCAAAAACTTTGTCTTCAGGACCTTCTAGATGTTTCTTGGGAATCTCCGAGTCTTTGAGCCAAACTGCAATGTCCCACGAGACTAAGTAACCCATTCCTGACATGTAATGTACGAACGGGTCCATGCTTGGACATGGAATGACGTAACCGTAGTAGAGATCTTCTCGAGGTAATGGTCTTAAAGATGCTACGAGGCTTTCTTGTCTTATGTATGTGTCGTCGTCTGCTTTCATAACGTAGTGGTATGGTGGGTTTGGTGCATCGGTTTCGTTGAATAGGTCTGGTAAGCTTGAGAAGTATGTGTAGGTCTTGCCTGTAAAATAGAAGAATTCAATTAGTTAAATGTGTTACAGCTAATCCCAATTGGTTAAGCTAGCTAGTCCAATCAAAATGAAGATTGAACCGAAAAAGGTAGAATAAATTCAGCTGAAAAAGGTAGAATATATTAAACTGAAGAAGTCGAACAAAAAAACATAAGAAAAAAATTCAACTGAATTAACAAAATT